CAAGCAATTTTAAAAGATTTTAAAATTGGGCTTGTAGCACATTGCTTCTAAAGCTGTCCTGAAAACATTGAATTTTTTCCAAAAACAACAACATGTTCAAAAAACCAAGGAACTGCTTTCTTGAGTGAATCATTTGTAAAGCACGTGAGTTGTTCACAGCCCGGCACACATATTTGTAAAATCTAAGTGACGCGTACAACATGGAATTCATATAAAACAGAAAAATCAACAGTGTTATGGGGGGTGACTGTATCTCATCCAGTTTTGCAGTACCTTTTAACAAACAAAAAAAATGAACAATTTGAATATCAATTGACTCCAGAAGTGAATGTTTTAAATTTGTTCAAACAATTTATTAACATCTTAATCGTTTTTTAATATAATTATTTTCTTATTTTACAATTTAATTTATAATTATATTTACAAATTCTATATATATATATATAATTATATTAAAACATTAAATGCAGACAGATTAAATAATAGCTTCATTATAGAGATTATTATAGACAGTGTCAACCCATTCCATTGCATAGGGGATATAGCAGATGACCAGATGAGAGAGTATTATTTAAGTTGTAATTTGTGCAGCTAGATGGTCAAAGAGGTTAAGGCATCAGTCTATTGCTCTGGGGAGTCATTTTAAGTAGACCAAAAAATCCAGTAATTTTTCATTTAATTGTAGTCTATTTACTTACCTCTCTTAATGTTATCAATTGATTATCATCATCAGTAAAGATGTTTCAAAATTATTATATACAGATTCTACTGTATTTTATAAATGTGTAATATTTGATTGTCAGATAATTTTTGATCTTATTTATATTATGTTTTAAGTATAAGAAGTTTACTGATTTTCCTAAATTAATTTTAATACCTATTAAATATTTCATACATTAATTTAATATACTTATGTTAAAGAATAAAATATATACACGATGTTGATACAGTAGAGCATCAATTATCTGACCCCCAATCAACCATCACATCGGTTAACCGACTGTTCTAGTTGGCAAATTCAAATGTCTGCTAGTGATGTGGCGCTACAATATTTGGCTATGTCTTGGCTATTTTAATAGTACTTTTACGTGTTTTAGCTGGCAACATGGCTTGACCATAAAAGGGAGCCAGTATTTAAACGAGGCTTAATTTTCTAATTTTTAACGATACAATAGCGATGATTATTATTTTAAAAAAAAATTTGTTAGGATTAACATCAATGAAAATTCAATGCAATGTAGGTTAATAGCGATATACTAATATACTAATTACATGAGATATACTAATCTACTATACTAATAATGTATTTTTTCATATTTTTCAGTTATCTGTTTTTTTCAGTTATCTGACTAACCCCAGTCCCCAATTGAGTCGGATAATCGATGTTCTACTGTATTTCAGAAAGATTATTTATAGATATTAATTAAAAGATAATGCAAGATATATCTTTATAAATCAAGCATTTTTTATGAAAATAATAATTGTTATTTTTAGTTTCTTTTAGAGATATTATTTTGTCAAATATAAGACTGGTCATATATCAAAGATAAAGCAACAGATTATTTGAAACTTTTATGATAATCAAATAATGAATAAGTAAATGCACAAATGAAAGTTTGATGGTAGAATGTTGAATAAATACATTTAAAATATAATAAATTTAAATTTTTTATACCTGTTGATACAGTGCTTCATATAGGGGTGCATGACTCCCAGCTATCTAAATTCAAAATAATGTTATGCATTAGAATATAAAAATCTTAATAAAATTTAAAATAGCTGCATATAGAAATTAAGTTAATTTATATTATATAAATTAAACCTGAAAACAAAATAATAATTATTTTTATTTCAAAAATTAATCTATTAAATTATATATAATTTATAATCAATTTTATACTTAAAAACCATAACAACTTATTTGAATAATTTTAATTTAATTGTTTACTAATTTTTAAGTTTTTTAATCTCATTAACTGATGAAGTGGCACTGCAACAAAGCAGACCATCTAAGCTATTACTTTGATATTATACACAGAACTCAATGTCAATTGGGCAAAGCAATTTTTAAATTTGGGTTTACATAATATTTCTTTAAGTATAAATAAAATATTTGATTTAGAATGTCTGGATCAAAAGATGAAAATGTAAAAAAAATTCTATACAAATAAACACTCATATAACTGGATATAGTTCTTAAACTCTAACACCAAAACCCAACAAGGAAAAAGATTAATAAGTATTATTTATTAAAACAATAAATAACTACTGTTTATCTGTTTAACACCAATAGACAATAGTTATTTCTTGTTTTAATGGATAACATTTTGATGTGATGATCTAATCATTTTTATAAATATTATTTTCCTTGCTTGCTTCCTTGGATTTTGGTATTGGAGTATTTACTCAAAAAAGTTCTGAAAACAATGATTTATCAAATTAAACAGTTATTCTGGCTTCTTATTGGTATGAGTGTCTTTTTGAACTGTAATAATTTAACTTATTCAAATCAATATCACATTAAGAATTTCATTATTTTCATGAAATGTGGTGAAGTAACATATTCAATGAAGTGAAGTATGATGGACACATTGTAATAAAGAATTAAATTTCTCTTTTCGACAATACATCCATGATGTGTCTTTACACAATTTGTCCCCTCTCACGCAGATGAAGGATAAGACAATTCCACAGCAGAGTCGACTTTTATTTGAGGCTTCTTGTCCACCTTCAAATGTAAAACAGTCTGTTGTATCCCTCTAGTGGCGGCAGTACAATTAAAAAACAATTTACAATTTTTAAACTTTGGCCAGGACAATTTAATTGTAATAAATTTATTACAATTAAATTGTCCTGGCCAAAGTTTAAAAATTGTAAATTGTTTTTTAATTGTACTGCCGCCACTAGAGGGATACAACAGACTGTTTTACATTTGAAGGTGGACAAGAAGCCTCAAATAAAAGTCGACTCTGCTGTGGAATTGTCTTATCCTTCATCTGCGTGAGAGGGGACAAATTGTGTAAAGACACATCATGGATGTATTGTCGAAAAGAGAAATTTAATTCTTTATTACAATGTGTCCATCATACTTCACTTCATTGAATATGTTACTTCACCACATTTCATGAAAATAATGAAATTCTTAATGTGATATTGATTTGAATAAGTTAAATTATTACAGTTCAAAAAGACACTCATACCAATAAGAAGCCAGAATAACTGTTTAATTTGATAAATCATTGTTTTCAGAACTTTTTTGAGTAAATACTCCAATACCAAAATCCAAGGAAGCAAGCAAGGAAAATAATATTTATAAAAATGATTAGATCATCACATCAAAATGTTATCCATTAAAACAAGAAATAACTATTGTCTATTGGTGTTAAACAGATAAACAGTAGTTATTTATTGTTTTAATAAATAATACTTATTAATCTTTTTCCTTGTTGGGTTTTGGTGTTAGAGTTTAAGAACTATATCCAGTTATATGAGTGTTTATTTGTATAGAATTTTTTTTACATTTTCATCTTTTGATCCAGACATTCTAAATCAAATATTTTATTTATACTTAAAGAAATATTATGTAAACCCAAATTTAAAAATTGCTTTGCCCAATTGACATTGAGTTCTGTGTATAATATCAAAGTAATAGCTTAGATGGTCTGCTTTGTTGCAGTGCCACTTCATCAGTTAATGAGATTAAAAAACTTAAAAATTAGTAAACAATTAAATTAAAATTATTCAAATAAGTTGTTATGGTTTTTAAGTATAAAATTGATTATAAATTATATATAATTTAATAGATTAATTTTTGAAATAAAAATAATTATTATTTTGTTTTCAGGTTTAATTTATATAATATAAATTAACTTAATTTCTATATGCAGCTATTTTAAATTTTATTAAGATTTTTATATTCTAATGCATAACATTATTTTGAATTTAGATAGCTGGGAGTCATGCACCCCTATATGAAGCACTGTATCAACAGGTATAAAAAATTTAAATTTATTATATTTTAAATGTATTTATTCAACATTCTACCATCAAACTTTCATTTGTGCATTTACTTATTCATTATTTGATTATCATAAAAGTTTCAAATAATCTGTTGCTTTATCTTTGATATATGACCAGTCTTATATTTGACAAAATAATATCTCTAAAAGAAACTAAAAATAACAATTATTATTTTCATAAAAAATGCTTGATTTATAAAGATATATCTTGCATTATCTTTTAATTAATATCTATAAATAATCTTTCTGAAATACAGTAGAACATCGATTATCCGACTCAATTGGGGACTGGGGTTAGTCAGATAACTGAAAAAAACAGATAACTGAAAAATATGAAAAAATACATTATTAGTATAGTAGATTAGTATATCTCATGTAATTAGTATATTAGTATATCGCTATTAACCTACATTGCATTGAATTTTCATTGATGTTAATCCTAACAAATTTTTTTTTAAAATAATAATCATCGCTATTGTATCGTTAAAAATTAGAAAATTAAGCCTCGTTTAAATACTGGCTCCCTTTTATGGTCAAGCCATGTTGCCAGCTAAAACACGTAAAAGTACTATTAAAATAGCCAAGACATAGCCAAATATTGTAGCGCCACATCACTAGCAGACATTTGAATTTGCCAACTAGAACAGTCGGTTAACCGATGTGATGGTTGATTGGGGGTCAGATAATTGATGCTCTACTGTATCAACATCGTGTATATATTTTATTCTTTAACATAAGTATATTAAATTAATGTATGAAATATTTAATAGGTATTAAAATTAATTTAGGAAAATCAGTAAACTTCTTATACTTAAAACATAATATAAATAAGATCAAAAATTATCTGACAATCAAATATTACACATTTATAAAATACAGTAGAATCTGTATATAATAATTTTGAAACATCTTTACTGATGATGATAATCAATTGATAACATTAAGAGAGGTAAGTAAATAGACTACAATTAAATGAAAAATTACTGGATTTTTTGGTCTACTTAAAATGACTCCCCAGAGCAATAGACTGATGCCTTAACCTCTTTGACCATCTAGCTGCACAAATTACAACTTAAATAATACTCTCTCATCTGGTCATCTGCTATATCCCCTATGCAATGGAATGGGTTGACACTGTCTATAATAATCTCTATAATGAAGCTATTATTTAATCTGTCTGCATTTAATGTTTTAATATAATTATATATATATATNAAATATAAAAATAAGATTAAATATGAATGAGAAGTGAATGTAAACAATAACAGTAAATAGACACTTATATGTATTGTAGGGTTTTGTGAGAACCGAGGGGTAGCGTGCCGATCTTCTCCTCACTTATCGGCTTCTATGTCAGGGATGGACTGGATTAAGTGAATGGGAAGGGTAGTGAGGTCGTGACAAGGTGTTGGTCATACTCAGAGATGACACATTATTAAAGTTTGGAATAACATATTTAATTAATGAACTATTAAACAAATGAATACAAATCTAGACTACAAAAAGGGAATAATCCAAAATATTTTGGAATCACAACAAGAATATACGGTCGTCGATATATTGTTTGACATCTAACCTATACAAGGCATAATATCTTTTAAGTTTTACTCAGTGAATCGATAACTGAGAGAGTGAGAGTTAAAAACTCGAAAGGATTACCTTTTCTAACCACGGCGATCAAGATTTTGGCAGCAGATAGGTCAGCGTTCGGAGCAGGGAGTCAAAGAGTTCAGCCCGAAGTCTTCCCTTTGGTGATCGCACCGAGGTGTGGGTGCGACCCCTTTTCATTTGTCTCTCGTAGGGGGAAAAACTCAGGGAACGTCCTGATGTAATTCCACGCAAGTTCGATGGGTCAAGAGAAGTTTTGATTTCTGACAATTAGTATAAACATTTCGGCAGATTTATTACTTTTGCTATCCCGTATTATCACTCTTTCTAGTTCATAAATTTGATAACAGGTGTCAAACAGACAGAATTAATGGCTGAAGGTGACTAAGATTAGGATATGTATTGCAACCTTAGTAATAATTGTTCATTTAGTGGGTTATCCAATCGGTTTTATCATTGTTAAAATTGGTGGAAGTAATAAGTGAGGGGGTTGGTTTGGTTCGGACTCCACTTGTAGGTGACCTTCCAGGTTACCCTCTATTGTACATTGATTTGATGTTTTTGTTAACTGGCATGTTAGTTTGAAAATGGCAACGAAGGTGCAAATGAATTATCCCCGGGAGAGGGGAGAAGTTTAGCCATTGTTCGAAATGTCTTTGAAAGAAGGAAAGGTCAATTATTGATGTGATGTTTAAAGTCGAGGTTAAAGGTTCTTGTGGGAACTGGAGAAAGAAGGGAAATAATGACAAAAAAAAATTGTAATGTTTTAAGGTTTTAAAATTCCCAAAAGAGTTCAAATCCTCACAGTTAGGTCAGGGTGGGGAGACTTTCATCCTGTACAAAAAGCAAGTTGCAGATATTTTTTCCAATGGTCAGGATTCACTGAGTTAGAGAGTTGATAGGACAGGCTATAGATAAAGAAGAATTCCAAGTAGAAGGTTTAATACTGTCTCTGGGGGAAAATGGACATTGTATAGTGATGTATAGTGTTCTTGGAATGCTAATCTCACAAGCTCAGTAATAGATTTGTTTTGAGAGATGGCTGTAATATGTTCATTCATTCATTCATTCATATGATCTTGATTTTTGACAGACTGATCAGGTCTTTTCAGTCTCACTTCACCTTTTGAGTGCCATTCACTCCATTGTTGAGCGAGCTGTTTTTGTGTCAAAAATGTAGTAGATTCATGTTTCATTACCTGTAATGATGTGCTTTACAAATGATTCACTCAAGAAAGCAGTTCCTTGGTTTTTTGAACATGTTGTTGTTTTTGGAAAAAATTCAATGTTTTCAGGACAGCTTTAGAAGCAATGTGCTACAAGCCCAATTTTAAAATCTTTTAAAATTGCTTGACAAGATCCAAATGAAATTGGAATGTGTTCAATAATGTCCCTAATTGTTAAATACCGATCATTGAGCATCAAATCTCTGATGAGTGATATGTTGTTCATTAATTGAAATGGATGGTCTACTAGAGCGTGGTTCATCTTTCACACATTCTCTGCCTTCCTTGAACATATTGTATCACCTAAAAACTTTTGTTTTTGACAGATAATTTTATTGTGAAAACAAAATTTAATGCATATTGTTTGCTCAATTATACTCGACATTTTGAAAAATCACCAGTGCTAAAATTATTTACACACAAAACAAGTGCAAATGAAAACAGACAATGACATATGGATTGCTGCTAGATGTTAATGGAAATTGTACCAAATAATGAATAAAATGACAGCAGCACCCTCTTGCACACACGCAGTTTAAATGAACCATTCCTGATACTTTTTGGTAGTATATCAGATATAAATTGCATCACATAAATTTTATTTAATAATTTCATTATTAGGATGTACAAAAATGAATAAATTGAAATATTATTTTAAAAAAAGTAAATCAGTATACTATAACTAAAACATTAATTAATTTTCAGTAATATTACAGTGTATATTATTATTTTAAATTAAGAAGATAATTGTTATATATTGTTACAAATAATGATAGCAGTTTTTAAGAACAAAAAGTAAAAATTCAATAAAAATTTTTAGCATTGGATAGTTTTACTCTGTTATAAATTGCAACAAGAACAACAATTTTAAATATTTATTGCAATTCTTCATAAATAATACTTTGATTGATAATACTTTAAATTTGTTAGTGAAATTTCCACAAATAAACCTGTTTGATTGAAGTCATGATTGAATGCTCTTTTCTTTCATTTAAGAAATGTGTCAGAATTTGCTGGAAAAATACTTTATGGCCTGGGTTGATGTACAGTTCTTTATTAGTAATTGGATCACTTTGACAAATGAGTCTGTAGAGTTCTGTTACTACCATTTGACTCTCCCAAGAAAAACTTTTTGTTTGATGTCTGGTTGATGTTTGCTTTTGGAGCCAGACATAAACATAAACTTGGAAAATTCCAAGGGAATCTCTAAAACTTTTCTATGAAAACTCTCAGGGAAATACTGTAGAATTTCCCATTTGGTCCTCATCCCTTCATTTTAAGGGATTTGGTTGGTCTAACAATGCTCCAATCCAGAGCTGGGTCAGTAGCTAACATCCAGGTCTGCCTCAGTAGAATGGCTGACCATTCTGGTGATGATGCGTCACACTAAGCTGACCTCCTCTGGAAAAGTATAACCTCCCAAGCAAAGACAAAATTGCTTTGTCATTTTGCTAATCTACACGACAATGTTGTTTAATTCTACATTATACAAAATATTGCTTTTAGTAAAATATTGCTTGATTTTACTTTAACAACAATGTAAACTTAGCATTCTTTAATATTAAAAAAATGTAAAAACAAAAATATTTTAAGTTTAACTGCATTATATGTTATCATATTTATTAATTTAATTTAATAATGTATGTTTTAATTTTGAAATATACATTTTACATTTAATAAACTTTAAAATTTGAGAAGAGAAACCTAAACATTATTCATCAAGATACAAAAAGTAGCTTATTTATTGGCTTATGTAAAATATGTTTGTCTTTTACTTTTCATTAAGCAGTGTTGATGCATAAGTTCTATAGTTTGATATAAAATATATGCAAAAATAACACATTTATTTCAAACCATAACAGCTGTCTTATAGAATAATTTTGACAGTTTGGAATAAATGTGCATTTTGATAAAAAATGTTTGATGCAAATAATATAACAGGATGATGTGAGTATTGTTTTAAACAAATTATGATGCAGGATTTTAATCAGGCTATAATATGGCTGTTTAACTTAATAATGTATTAAGTAATTTGGACTAAATGTAGCAGTTAATCTGCCATTCTGTATTGAATTTAATGATTACAAATAAATAAATTCAGAATATTCTGGAAGAAAAAAATCAGTTTTTTAACTGGT